AGTCAGAACCATGGAGACCAGAGAGAAGATTATTAATTTTGCAAAAAAATAAGAAGCTGGAATCGTTGTGTCCAACATCTTCCAGGCGTCCACAGTCAGAATCAGGTGGAACCAGGACGGAAGAAGTTTTTTTGTTTGTTTGTTTTGAGAATTTTTGATTGAGACGTGCAAAAAGAAAAGGATTTTATTAAAACGTCACAACGTTCGGCTCTTTGTTGGCGGTGAACTCACGTCTCCACATGTTTTGTTGGAAAGTTGGGAATCTGTTATTCTGTCCTTTTTTTTTACAGGTTCTGCTTCTGACAACTGGCGCCATTTTGTAAAAACACACTCATAGTGTTTCACCAGAAAGGCCAGCGACAGAATCCAGAGAAAAGGCAGGAACAGAAATGTTGCTCTGAAAGCAGCTCGACGTCTTCACGGAGTCCGGCTCTGTCTCTGCTCCAACATGAACGAAGCTCCGTGAAGAAGGAACGTCATCGTCCAGACTTCAGAGAGACGCAGCTTCACATCCAATGCAGGCCTTTTGTCAGGAAGCGCTTGTTTCCCTCCAGCTGCTGCTGTCAGGACACTTCATGCTGAGCGGTACCGTCCAAAGCAGGAGTCATGCTGTCATTTCCAGTGAATTTCCTGGAAACGTTCCTCATCATTTCCTAAAACCAGGTTTATGTGTATTTAGCTGCTTGTTACAAAGAAAGCTTGATGTCCGTTGTTCTAAACAGAGTCGCTCACTGTGCAGTCATCAGATTAACCACATGATTATGTAGACACGATATCAACCTGCTTCACAGGTCCACTAACGGGACATACCTGCATTTAAACACCAGGTGGCGCTGCAGGGACAGGCTGAAGACTAAACCCCAGTTTTCAAACTTGGAAAATGTCTATTTTATCTGCCAGAAGACCGAACATGAGAAAAACAATCACCACAGCTGAGAACAGAAACAGATTCAGAGAAACCTACAGAACCGATTCTAACGGACTGAATCTGGGTCGCTCTTCTTCTGCAGGATCAGTTTCTGGTTCCTGAACTTCTGATACTGCAGAGAAGTTTTACAGTGTTTGAGCTGTAGGTGAGCTGGTGTGCTGAGCTGCAGATCATCATCTATGACAGCTGAAGGATCATTCATCGGAAACAGCTTCTCCAGATGGAACCGGAGCGTTTGCAGGTTTCATCATGAACCAGATGAAAAACAATTAGAACAAACAAACTAAAAACATGTCGTCTGTTATCAAATGACTGCTAAACAACGGTCCTCACAGCGCTTCATGAATGAGTGAATGGGTGAATGAGAACACCGTACATTCACTCATTCACACACCAACGGCCACAGAGCTGCCGTCCAAGCTGCTGCCTGATCAGGTTCAGGGTCTTGCCCAAGAACCAGCGGCTCTGCCAGCTCAGCTTCAGGACTTTTACTGTATTTTATGCTTTTCAGGCAGCCGCTGGTTTCTAATTGATTTTATTTCTTAACTCATGTAAAGCTGCAGAAACTTTCTGTTGTTGTCAGAAACCTTATAAACAGCTTCAAGAAGCCTCAATCAAAAGACGTGTTGGATTCTGGTGGCATGTTTTCTTCAAGTTATGTTAAATTCAAAGAAACTTTCAAAACATCTACAAGTTCAAATGTCCAAAATGCGAAAGTACAGAGAGAATATTTCAACACCTCACCTCTGTCTGACAGAGAGCGTTCTCAGCCCTCTGCTCTGGAAAAGCCTCTGTCTTTGCACTGTTTTCTCAATTTGCACATTTTGTACAGTTGTTTTATTTAATTAATTTTATTCACTTATTTTTATTTTTAACTGCCCCGTCTCAGACGCCAC